GAACCTTCGTCGTATAGAACCGCACTGAGACAACGAGGACAATGTTGGTGCGGAGCCAGGCGGTAGAGGAAATTATCAGTAAGTTCGTCTTTTGAAGTTCAGAACCCAGACCGTGCTTTTTAGTGGCAAAGACTTCATCTATTCGAGCTCTACCGAGCATTTATGGGTTTGATAGTTTTCCAAACGGATTGGTTGGCAAGCTTCTTTTACATTTCAATTGATACACCTCTAGTTTCAAACTGTCGAACAAATCACAGAACAGTAGTCTTCATAAAACGAAAAAAGTTAAATAATGCGCTCGATACCGCAAGGTTACCCAGTCAAAGTCAGGTGAATTTTCTTAGGGAATTCCCAACCGGAGTCTTCGGCTGAGCAGGGTCTGATCCAAAAGGCAGCAGGGCAGTGTGTGAAAATCACAATCGATAATCGTAACCGAGGCCTATAGACACTGAGAGATATGGCTGGGNGGTGTCGCAACCAGTGGCCTTCATGCATCTTCTCAATCTCTTTGCAACCTTAGACCACTGAACTTCTCCGTTTTCTTTTCGACTCCACTTTCAAGTTTCCTTTCTTCTCCTATTCTTCATCCAAATAGGCAGCTAAAGGACAGCAACCAAAACCGGCGCACAAATATGCGTGGTTAATGGTTGTTCAAACTGAACTGAAACTGAAAGGCATGTGTCCAGTTCATCGGAACATACTCCCTTTGGGTGGGGTCAAACGTCCAAGTTGCTCGATTGAGCTGGTGATCACTGCCACAACCGAGGTGTGCGTGGTTCGCACGCCTCTTCATGGTTGGTTTCTAATCAGAATTTTTAACCAACCCCCTAGGCAAACTGCTTGTGGTTCACCAACCCAACTATAGCCCCGGATATTGGTTTTTCGGGCTATCACTTTGGTGGAAAAATACTTTCGCCTCGATAAGGCAGTGAGTAGCTTCCTCAGCAGAAGCTATTTGAGACACTTGGTCGTATAGGAGTATTTCGCGAGTTGTAATGTAAGGGTGGCCGGCCACAACCCAAGAAACCTACCAGCGACCATATTGAGACGTTCGTAGGCAAGGTGGACGAATTATGTTAGTGACTGATTTTCGTCTGGCTTTCTGTATCTAAGGGACTAGCTCAAGTCGCCAAAAACAATTCGTCAATGTACTTTACACCTGTTTGTGGTCTGATTCGTTGAGCAGAAGTTGAAGCGACTTAGTTCTCGTTGATTTCGTGCATTTTTATGGTGGTTGCGGGAATTATCAAACCACTTGAGTCACTATCATTCGTACGTTGCAGATCATAAATTCCTACGTTCAAACTAACCCTCATTCACCTCCATCCAACTTCGGTGCTGAACGGCTGCGCCTTTGGCCATCGCCATACCACGTCTATCCGATTGGAGTCTTGGGTAACTTGCTGTTCCAAGTCTCCGGACTTGAATCGCTAGTTCCCATAACTAACCAGTAGGTCCGTGTATCTATGGGTTGCAACCTTTCTGCCATTCATCATGCTAACACAAAAACATGATCTTTTCTGCTTATAAGTGTTAGTTCATTAGGTCATTCATAATCCGTGGAATTTGGAGGGCACTTCCAACCTGGAAGTTCAGGGTCGTAAGTCCCTACCAACAAGACTCGCGGGTGGTGTTGATCAAGTGGTTTAAGTCGCTGTCACCGGCGTACTTTGGGCCCTGCGGTCTTATGTTCGAGTCCCACCAGCATCCAACTTTTTTGAATGCTTCGCTGTTATCTTCCTCGTATAATCTAGCCTTATGTGGATCTCCACTGTGAGTCCTGGGGTTTAGATTGCCGGTTTACGTGACTGGACAACAAGTCCTCATGACTAGGGTTTAACCTGTCTGCTGTTCATCGCACACAAATATGTTATATGTTGTTTATGTCATTAAGTTGAAAAACGATGCAGCCCAGTCTCCGTTTTCTGTTGTAAAGATTAGAGCTAAATATTCATAGCTTTAATTTGAGCATTCCGTTTTTTGAGGAGGTGAGGGGGATGGGAGCTAGGCGTCTCTTTAGTTGTCAGTCGCACATTTGTCGCGGGCAAAGTTAAACAATAAGGAAGGCTGATTTTTTTGCAGGTGTTTTTAAAACAACACTCGCTTCACTTGGGTTGTTTGGATGACCGTATATGGAAATGCATGAAAAATTGTGATGTTAATGCTGTTGATCGCTGGGATTTTTAGTGGTTTTCGGAAGGAACATAATACATTTTATCCCGAACTGGGTGGCCCCCAAAGACTACTTTAATGCGATGTTGCTGTTTGGATGAGAAATTATCTTAAATCTGAGACGGTCTCGTCTTGAACATTTTGCTTCACACATTGAGTTCAAATTCGTTCATAACAAAAGAATCTTTGTGAATCATAAGGGTATGTTTACACTTCCAGATGATCTCATCTCTTTCCTCTGTAATTCAGTACAAGCCGTGTAAATTAGATACAGAAATCCGGAATTAGTATAGATAGAGTATTTTACGTTCCTAACAGTTTATCTATTACTGCTCGCGGTCACCTAGTTCTGTACATTGCCCTTGATTCTGCGGCCTGATATATTTATGCACTTCTTTCACCCGCCCCCCCCTCCCGGATCACCGAGTCCTTTGCTTTCATTGGGTACCAGTCGAATAGGTTTTGCTAAAACATCATGCACCTAATAAAAATCGATGTTAAGCCGCCACTGGTTTAACGTGTGCAAAGTTTCACACAGATTTGTCCAACTGGCACTTGATGACGGTAAAGCAACTGAGCCTCAGCAACCCGTCGATTTGTTTTTATCCAATTTTGTTTTGACAGTCTGTGGGCACAATACGTCTAGTCTGCGGTCTTCGATTGACACTGCATTACCTTACCCCGTTCACTTAACTTTGTTATAAGATCTGCCTAGGCTGTAAATGAGAATTCGGGTGAACGCGAACTATACAGGTTACCGTGTATAGTTTTGTTTTCATTTCGCCTTCGTGATCTACTATCTTACCTTTAAAATTAGTATGCCGAAGGAAAAGTACTATTATGGTGATGTATGTAAATTACCCTTTTGGTTTATTTCTCATAGGCATGGAAATCAACTCCTACGGCTATCATAGTAATAATGGAGCATTCTATCATGGAGCCAAGGAACTACCAGCAGCTGGGCCCCCCTTCGGAGAGTCTGATGTCATTGGTTGTGGTGTGAACTTCGTCACAAATTCAGTATTTTTCACGAAGAACGGTGTGTTCATGGGCCCAATCAGTACGGGAAAAAAGCTGGTGAGCATTTCATCTGAAGCTCTTTGTGCTCTCAATTTTCACTTGAGCGATCAAAGCTATCAGTTTTAGAGTGTAATCTGGTTTTTATATTTTCCTGATTGATATTGTTCCATAACACGGATACCATCGAATTCTAATATTTTTCTTCCCTTCTGTAGATCAATTTGCCCTCTCTCCACTTGCAATCATCTCAAGATTCTAACCCTCCATCACCACCCGATTTTAGTACTAGGCAATCACGTTTTTATCCGTTTTCCCCGTCATGTTGCACCCGGATTCTGTTTTCATTTGGATTCAAACATATGAAGATACTGATTACCATATTTAAACGGGGACTCCTCATAATTGTGGGATTCCCGCGTCTGTTGTTCCTTGAATAATGGGATGTAATACACAAAACAAAATCGAATCAGTTTGTCGCATCACACGTGTGTGGTGATGACCCGTTTGTCTGCAGTCAAGGTTTTTAGCAGTGATCTATCGAGAAAGACTTTTACTGATGTGTCAGCCATAAGTTGACTATATAACACATCAGTGGGTTCTACATAGTCAACGATTACAGATCCAAAATGATCAATGTCGTAATCATTTGCTTATCAACAAGACGAAAATAGGATAACCTAATCATTCCTAATTCGATCGTAGTAAAATAAGGAATAAGTTTTCATCTGATCCGTTTGTAAGTGACTTTGGAGCTCGGCTGACAATGTGTACACGCACCGACGCGTAGGTTCGGAACTCCTGAGCTTTTCAAAATTGGATTCGACAGAATATTCTTCTAGTTTACATAGCAATTAATTCTAAAAATAGAATTCGTCCTATTTCAAAATGTGACAGTTGAGTGGTCAGACTACCCGATCGTACGGCCTCCGCCTGGCGATCTCCATATGACCCGTCTAAAGTCAGTGCATGATTACATATGAAGAACTGTTGGTGGCCAACGAATAACCATGCACATGGTGCAAAGATTTTAACTGCTCTCTTTTCGCTACCCATTTTTAGTCGTTTTTTATAATCATTAACCGTGTTTTTTTCGTGCGGCGGTTTTGATTGCCCATTTGAATAAAAGAGCAGAATGACGATTGGAATGTCTAGAATAGAATTCAAGAGAATATAAGGATTTCATATAGACTGGATTTTCAAGAATAATAGGCAAATACCCGAGCACCACTGTATGTGACACTCAGGCATATCACTCAGTATCTCCAATTACGGATTACCACGACTACAGGGTCCCCACCTGGGGACCGTGTGGAGGTTAGACAGCGAAAGAAGAGTAAATCAAAGAAATTATAGCCAAGAGCACAATCTGAATAAAGATGCAGAGTGCAACTGAAACCGAAAGCGTAAGTGCATGCACCATCACCACTAAAATTCCCCTTTTACTTTTTGACTTTTACTTTCAACTTTCCCGTCTGTATTCTGCTGTTCATCCAAACTTAACTGGGTTCGGCTGATTTTACCGGTCATGCAAAGCAGACAGATCGGTAGAATGGTGGGATTTACGGACTGCTACTATCTGTGGAACCAAGGAATACAGTTCCCGTCTCAAGGTTGCGGTAGGACATCGGTCATTTTGGTGGGTAACCGTGAATGTACGGCTTTTGCTTGACGGAAGATTCGCAACAATGTCCGGGGTCTTGGCAGTTTATCGTCTGGAAAGCGATCTCTCTGCAATAAAAGCTTTAATTTTCCGAATAGGACATCGTGGCGTGCACGAATTTAACCCACCGTTAAAGTAGATCGTCCACGTCACCCTAGAGGTAGCACCTGGCTGTTCCGGGCTTCATGCGGTCTATCATCGAAGAAACTGGGCTAATAGTAATGGGGCTGACAATTTGTACCCAAACATAGGGATTAATCCGTGAGGTCAACTGATTCTCAAAAAATACATGATTGCCTTAGACACTGAGAATGCTGGAGCTCCGTGATCCACTGAACAAGATGAGCATATTTCCAAGATCCTCCCTCCTCAGCGTATCCATCAATTTGATTCTGTTATCAATCCTAATCCCTAACGCAATGGTAAACCTGTGATTTTCCCGTTTTACCGAACTAACGCGCTTTTACAGTAGGGATCCAAGGCACGACTGAGTGTAACTTCTCTTTTTCATTTGTTTTTCTCACTTCACCATGCGTGCATCACCCTCGTCTTCACAGCCACACCCAGTCTATCCTTGTGTCGCTTTGGCTTGTCCAAACTGTCATGTAAGTGCTAATTTCGGGCAACATAAATTCACCTTCAATATCGGACAATATATTGCACGCGAACGAACCGTCGTAGTTAGCATGGCTGTGGATCGGAAATGCAACGAACAGTTGGCCCACGTAACCATGCGAAAGTAAGTCATNGTCATTTTGGCTGAGAGCTTTGCGCTTGCATAACCCATCTGTTTCCGTGTTGTGTTGTGTCCCTGAACCCACATTTTGCCACGTTGCTCAAATCGTTCTCAGCTCCCAACCATGTGGGTTTACCTAAGCGTCCCTATGATCTACTTGAATCAACACTACTCTTGTGCCTATGATCAGTGTCTATGTGACTGCACATGGAGTTCAAAATTCAAGCCTGAGATTCATGACCGCAACGCAATCGCTCTGTTCGAACGTCCACACGATGGTAGAGTGTACTCCATCACCCATGTGGACAGACTGCAGTTGTTGAGGTTTATACTCTACTCAGTACGGTCGCATTCTTGGAGGCTTGGTGTTTTATATCAGCTATTACATAACCCTAATCGCTCATTTCATTTTGCTGCTAGCAGTGTCAATGTAAGGAGACCTGTCTTCGAAAATGCCATCAGGAAGGCGGCCCTCCATCTGTTGCAGTCCGGGTGTGCAACACTTGGAATTCTCTGTCATCTCAAGTCGTTTGTGGGCTAACAAGTGATTGTGGGAAGCGAAGATTAGAACACCCGATATCAGATGAGCATGCAAAGATAGACCAGTCACCCTATCCTCGTGCGAGGATAGTGGCATCGATTTACTCCCAGGTGGCTGGCTGTCTGATCTGGAGTACACAGACGACATTGTGCTACTAAGTGAAGATCCAGGTAAGTTGCAAGCATTTCTGGATAAGTTGAATGCCAGTGTAGCCATGTTCGGTATGCGTTTGGCACCTTCAAAGTGTAAAATGTTACTACAAGACTGGGTTGGTCCAGCACCCAGCCTCACTCTAACAGAGGAAGTAATAGAGCAGGTGGATAAGTTTTGTTATTTGGGCAGCTACGTCTCACCCGGTGGACGTATCGCAGATGAAGTGTCAGTTTGCATACAGAAGACTCGGTTGGCATTTGCTAACTTGAGACATCTGTGGCGCCGTCGCGACATCCGGCTGTCTGTGAAGGGTCCAGTGTATGCCGCGACAGTTCGGCCAGTTCTGCTATACGGTGCAGAAACTTGGCCATTAGGAAAACAAGATAAAGACAGACTGTCGGTGTTTAAACACCGCTGTCTACGCAGCATTGCACGAATCTGGTGGGGTAGCCGGATGAGTAATGCCGAGGTTAGGGGCAGATTTTTGGGTAAATACGGTCGCCCACTGGAGCAAGTGGTCGACCTCCATAGATTACGTTGGCTGGGACATGTGTTACGCATGTCACCAGGTAGGTTACCACGGCGAGCGATGTTCGCCGAAGCGGATACCGAGTGGAAAAAAGCCATGGGTGGTCAAGTTAAGAGCCGGCACGAGGGTATGAAAACCCTAACCAGGTAACTGGGTCACATAGGTCCTGTTAGGCTCCCTGGCTGGGGACCTCGGAATGATCGTAACCGATGGTTAGAGACGCTGAGCGATATGGCTGGGTGTCGTAAACAGTGGCGTTCGTGCATCTCAATTTCTGTGTATCATTAGTCCACTGAACTTTTCAGTTTTCTCTTCGATCCTACTCTGAACCTTTCCTGTCTTGCTCCTAATGTTCATCCAAATGGGCAACCGAAACCGGCGCACGATAGGGTATGGTTAAGGGTTGTACAAACTGAACTGAACACTCGCAGGTATTGAAATTGGAAGTAAATCGAGGCTTCATCAAATATCAACTGGGNCACATAGGTCCTGTTAGGCTCCCTGGCTGGGGACCTCGGAATGATCGTAACCGATGGTTAGAGACGCTGAGCGATATGGCTGGGTGTCGTAAACAGTGGCGTTCGTGCATCTCCTCAATTTCTTTCCAACCTTAGACGACTGAACTCCTCCACTTTCTTTTCAAATCCACTTTCAACTTACCGTCCTTCTCCTATTCTTCATCCCAATGGGCAGCCAAAAGACAGCAACCAAAACCGGCGCACGAAAGTGCATGGTTAATGGTTGTTCAAACTGAAACTGAAAAGACCAGTGAATTCGCTTGTCTCCAATGGCAGTTTGTTTAGTAACTGTCATCCGACCGTTCGCGAACTTACTGTACCAAAATGAGGCTACCTATATCGCCAACAGTACAAAGCAGGCTCTGACTGAGCATACAAACGTATCCCAAGTGCATAGGCGGCGAAATAAGACTTTGGGTAATCGAACCAAATCTGTGTTCTCGAGCTTTTGACATTGTTCGCAATGGGCAGGTTTACTTGAAATGATCAATCTCTGGGATTTAGGTGCAAAGCTTTTCGTCTGAAATCCTAGCATGTCATCTCATGATGATTTGCTGGTGTTTATTGTCAGTGAAGCAACCGTAACGTTATTAAACAACCATACACAAGCGTATTAACCACCATCATTTCTGACGCATTCATAACGCAGTTAGTTCTGTCTTGTTCGCGAGTGCACGTGTGTGTACCATCTCATACAGCTGCAGTATACACAACCAGTAAAAATGCATTTTCATGCTGTCTTTTCACCACTCATTCCGGATTGGAATGTTTTGGGCAGAGCAAAAGCGGAGATAGATAATTCCTATAAACTGGAGTTGCAAGAATAGTAAGTGGATGCACCAGCCCCACTGTTTGCAACACGCAGTCATTTCACTCACTCGCTCTAACCACCGGTTACCATGATCTCAGGGTCCCTATCCAAAGTGTGGGAAATGGGGCAATACCTTGACGTGCCTTTCTTGGAGACTTTTCTAATCGGGATTTACCCCCAAAAATCGATGTTCGTTCTGAATTATAAACTTATTTTGAACACCCCCTTAAACACATCGAAAAATTCAGTAACAGGTGTTGCAATATGGTCAGCACACGCTTTCAATTGGAGGCGGGGGATTAATATATCAGGACTGCGAGTTTTTCGGCCTTGCAAGTCCCTGCAATGCTAGGAAAAGTAGGCTTTTTTTAGAGGAAAGGGTTTGAAAGAGCTTAATTTAGGTGCAACAGTGAATTGACCATTCCATTCTTCAACGCCGGGGTTCAATTGAAACGTGCCATAGGGTTGCCGCAAGGTATACCTTATTTGACAACAACTCGTATTGTTTCAAAAGAGTTTATTAATATACATTTATTCGGAATAGATAGTTCTTATACACTGCGGTTCCTGCGGATCATCTGGGCTTTTTGTTTAAATTCACTGCGATGCGTAAAGAATGGAGAAGGATGCCCTTTGTTTCGAATATTGATAATTTGACGGTGCAACACTAGTCGTGGACCGGTTTGTGGCTGATCACCCCTACCTTGCACTTCGTGAAATGATTCTATACAACTAGGTGCCCCAAATAGTAGATACCCTGCTCATTGCCTTCCCGTTACAAAGTTATTTTTCCACAAAAATTAGTGTATCTGACTAGTTCAGCATTCTGCTTCTCTCGATCGATAGGCGCTTGCACAATATATATATATATATATATATATATATATATATTATATCAGAAAAACCTTGTCTGCAACACAGGGTGACTTTTGAATAGACAGCGCCTTCAGAATCAGTCCATTGAAGAATCATTACTATGACTCGGTGTTTTGTAGGTGAGTTAGATGCTAATAACCGCAGCCAACGTGACGTGAGCGTCTTTACGGAATTTTTGATAATGAGTGTATGAATGGACAAAATTTCCCTGGAAGCACACGGCTGGTTTTGCGGTTCTTGCCGCTCGTCAGGCATACGTATGCGGTGTTTGAAACAAGGTTATTGCGACAAAAATATACTTCCTGGGTACAATTATATGAATGAAAGACAAAAGACTACCGGATACGCATTCTCGGCGAGTGGCAGGAACCGCGAAACTGGTCGTGTGCTTCTAGGGAAATTTTGTCAAGAGAGAGAGAGATCGTAAGAAAAATTGATTTACAGGCGATCTCCTGCTATGTCGCACCACTGAGAAGACGCATTTTCCAATATCCCCACTTTTTCGAAAACCTAAACTAACCGTATGCGTAATAGTGTAGTTTCTGACTATGCAATGTCGAACCCCTCAATATGTAGCAGTTCCTGATTCATACTCACTTGTTCGTTGACCGATTTTTGGGACGACCATTGACCATCCACCATAAAGTATCGCACTCAACTAATCGCGTTTCACCTAGTGTAACGCGTTCGTGGCACTGCTCACTGATTAGATAATCCTTGCGAGGAAGTAACACCGATGTAAGCGATCAGAGACAGTGTCATTTGACGTGAAATTGTGCATGCGCCTATCGATCGAGAGAAGCAGAATGCTGATCTAGTCAGATGCAACTCAGAGCTCCGTAGTACAATCAATTAGAATTTCACGAAAAACTGTCTACGATGTTATATTTCATCGAACGACTATCGGAGAATTTTTGAACACTGAAGCATCTGAGGGAAAACGCCACCTAAAAACCAATAAAAACTTCAAGGCAGTGAATGAGTCAACTTGGGCTTGGTTTACTGCTATGAGGGAAAATCATGGAGAGTTCACAATGGTGGAGAGCATCGTATGTAACAAGGCAATCCAGCAAGCATAAAGATTGCATTATGATGACTTCAATGCTTCCAAAAGTTGATTTTGCTCTTGGTCAGGCATAACTAAGAGACAAGCAACTACTCATGTGTAGGTTAAGGGGAAGGTTTGGCGGTACCACTTGATGCAGTGAACGAGTTTCGAGCAGGGTTACCGCAGTGGACCCATAGATATGCTAACTGATATTTTCAATGTAGATGGAACAGCTTTGTGTTGCAGGCAGCTCTTAGAAAGAACATCAAGTCTAAAAGGAAAGACAGTTTTGGTTCCAAGAAATCCAAAGGGAGGGTCAGGTTACTGCTTTGTGGGAGCGTGACTGGAGAAAAGTTATCACCGTTGATGATTTGAAAGTTTCAAACTCCACGATGCCTCCGAGATATAGATAGAAAAAGCCTTCCGTGCAGTTATAATTCTTCAAAGAACACATGAATGACTTTTGCGTTACTTCACAGTTGGCTGTCCGATGTCAACCGCAAAATGGTTTATCAAAGGCGCTCTATTTTACTATTTATGGACAATGCCCCTTACCATATTCAAGCCATAGTATTCTCCAATGTCAAATTGGTACTGCTCCCTCCGGACTGTTCTTCAATGTTACAACCAATGGATCAGGGGGTGATTTGGTCTTTCAAATGTTTGTTTCGGAAACATCTACTGAAATATGTTTGATCGAAGATGAGCAACTTATCATGAAAGCTGAGGTTTACATTCTCATGGTCATGCATCTGGTCAAGAAAGCCTGGGTGTGTGCACCCGCACAGACTGATCAATACTTTCATTGATTCAGCCGTTTATGCAGCCACCATAGGATAAATGCGATTTGATCGAAGACTTTACTCGTTACGTGTCTTTTGATGACCGTCTTTTTTGAAGAAGAAATCGCCTGCTCGGAATTTTTGTTCTGAGTATAACCCGTAATAGACATTTCATTCATTTTAGATGTTATTTCCTTTTCACTGTATTCGAACTGGTTCACCTTTGTTTTCCTTGAATGAGTTTTATAATGTGATTATTTAAGGTAAAACAGTTGCATGTTTTGGTGGACATCATATAACCAGTTTCTATGGTTGCAACGGAATGTAGGAATATCTGGAATTTCTATGGCAAATAATTGGGTAATTTCAGCTTAACTAGAAACTTAGAACTGAATAAGGACTGAATCCTGCATGGAATGTACCAATAATGAGCTGAGGACTTAATAAGAGACTTTAATTTCTTCTATAAATAAAGGATACACAGGACGGTAGATCTGAATTCCATTATAAATAAACAGTCCGTAATTACAAACATTGGGCGGAAGTAACGGAACTAACCTACTTTTCACCGATCCGGTTTATTTTGTCATAAAACTGTCAACCGATTTCGATACTGCTTGATAGCAGCTACTACTAATTATCAAGCGATGTTGCAGTTGCTGGAATTTACCCACGTTTCGTATTCCCGAGGGGTGTGACATAGCAGGAGATTGACTGTACTTTGAATATTAGACGCAAAAACTTCTGCGAACAACACTTCCAGCTCGGAGAAAACACCACCGACATCTGGGATTATTTGGGGATGAGGGCAATAACTAGACAGGTGGGAGAGATTTCTACAACTGGGTGTCTAAGACTTTAGAGCACGATATACTTCGCGGCAGCCCACACCGACGAAAGAGGTTTTCTCTGGGAACCCTAACGGGAGCCTTTGACTCAAAAGTCTGACCCACAAGACAGCGCAAACGACTGGCTCTGAAACAACTGTCAATCAAAAAATCACCCTGTGTTACAAACAAGGCTATTGTGCCGAAAATGCTCTTCCTGGGTACGAGTATATGAATGAACTGAAAAAAAGCTTTCCGGATACGCGTACCTGACGAGCGGCAAGAACCGCGAAACCGGTCGTGTGCTTTTAGGGAAATTTGTCTAGTCATTCATATACTACTTATTATGAAGTATTCTATAAAAAGGTTCACGTCACGGTTGTTGCGGTTAGTAGCATCTAACTCACGTACAAAACATGGAATCATAATATTGATTCTTCAATGAACTGAGAGAAAGAGATCGTAAGGAAAATTGACTGTAATTTGAATATCAGACGCAAAAACACACTTAGATTCCAAACTTAGCTCGCATCATTTTCCACAGACGGGACACAGTTATATGTGCACAACTGCGTCAGTTGACTGGCTTACTCAAGAGATCACACGGTTCATTCTGCCCTCTCGATTTCACTAACGACTAAACTGAAGCCGGATGATAATATGGAGCAGGCTTGACAGACACTGCCGATTACTAGAGACGGTGACATCCATTCCCACACGCTCATTCCACTAAATGTCTGCTAACACTTGTATTCTCAGAATCCAAGAGGCCGACAGGATTAAGTAAATCCTAAGGGAACGTAACACTGAATCATTTCTCGGTCCCTATAACCTACCTTGTAGCTCGATATAACGTCAAACCTATTGTGTGACGAACAACGGATAGGGCGACCCCATAGCCACGAGAACCTATTGTTTGGTTATCGGAACCGGCACCTTGAGCCTCGGAATTAGGAGTGGTGAACCACATCAGGTCCCACTAGCGTGGGTGTAGTATCAATCCGAACGTCAGCGAAGCCGTCCACCACCAATGTTAGATACTGGTAGCAGGGTTCGGACTTCGTATTTTAGGCCTTGTATGTTTTCCCACTCTCAGTCCGAAGGTTTAGATTGCATGTTCCCATAACTGAACAGTGTTTCTTCGTGACTCTGTCCCGTATTTTGTTCGCCACATCATGCTGTTTACTAAAAAGGATCATCACGCCGAAATTTCGATTGGGAAACGCACTCCTTGAAGCAGGCGCTAGTTGAGATTCAGCAAAAGAATTCGAAATATACACAAAACAGCCTTATTATTCTACATTTTCTGTTTGAATAACTTTCAACAAAGTGTTCATTGTCATTTCCGTTACTTGTAATTCTACTTTAGTCATTCACTTTGCGGCTCGTAAACCATGTGAACACAAATTTAAGCGGACTAGACTCTTTTTAATCAGATATGACTTAATCGTTAGAAAATGACAAACAAGTTCACGTGTTCACTAGGCATTTTGCTTTATGTTTGAGTTTTTGGATCGAATGAATTGGCTGGTACAGCTGATCCGGTGATCTAGGCCACTACCACGTGGGTTTTTATTCTAAATGTTCCAACCCCGCTACCATGGTTGCCTAACTTTTACCGTTGGGCGCTCAAATTGAAGTTGAAAAAAGTGTTGCGCACCGGATCGTAATGCACCATCGTGGTTTTTATTTAACGATTGGCGTATAAATCCCCAAGGAACTAGGGTTTCTTAATCAATATCGATAACAATACTCCTGATTATATTGACTACCAATCAATCTGGACCCATCTTATCCCACCTCAGCTTGGTTGCTGCGTATATGCTACATAATGGCTACTTGGAATCGGCACGCGCTCTGGGCGGTTGGATCGCCAAAGCAAATGTGGACGCTAGTCTTTACACATCTGTCGAAAGTGTCGGTGCAGATCCTCCACGAAATGGTCAAACCGTCAAAGAACAACGAGATTCAGACGATGCACGAAATCTGATGTTTGATATTTATAAGATGAATTCTTCCGATCTCGCTGGATTTCCTAAGCCCGCGCTAAATGGCCATAAATACAAGTCCCCGGAAATTCAACCGAACAATGAAATGACAGACCTTTTTCAGTGGCCCGAGGCCACTGAATTGTTGCTGAAACGTCGACACCTGCGCGATACTATCCGAGCTGGTGACTATTTGTCCGCATTGGAGCAATTGGAAACAAATTTTCGAAGTCTTTCTGACCAAGATCCCTCGATTTCTTTTGTACTACGCTGTCATCACTTTATTGATCTTGTAAGTTTGATTTGGGATGCGAATAGCTAACCCCCAGTTTCATTGTTGCTGTTACCTCCTTGCTCTGATCATTCCCTTTTTCGAATGTTCTGCCGCTTTGTTGTAGGATGCTTCATCGAACCTATGCACGTAGCTTTTTTTCTTGTGATAAATCCGGTTACGTTTTCTTGTCGCTTCTGCTAGTTTGATTCCCCTGTCCCCTTTCGTTATCCCACGAATCGATCTTCTTTGTCATAGAGACAGGGATACAGGCACTGTCCGTCTTCTGGTCCATATCTACGTGTCTGTCTCAGTTAGTCATTCCGACTTGTGTCCCAACTGAGAAACTATACGTATTTCGAGAGAGAAAGATTGAACCTATCGTCGGATTATTATTTGTCCCATTTATTCTTATGCACAATCACCTTCGGCGATTTGTTTTTAATCTGAATCCACGTATGCCATATCACTTATTGCATTAGTTAGATTCAAACTATGTGATACTGTTGATACGTCTGAATAACGGCGTTGTAGTGTGCAATCATATAAGTTCATCAAATAGTTTAGGAGCCGTGGAGTAGCCCTCAGGTGTTTCATTTCTTACACCCCCCGTTCATTTCGATCCTTCCTATGGAAACATAACTCATAGCTAAAAGGATTCTTAACCCATTCGCATATACAGTCACTATAGAACAAGCAGGTTAGAACTCCTCGGTATGCGGATTCACTTTTGCAACGATACTTTCGCATAACATGATTCTTTGATGCACGTAGTTAGCGCCTTAATGGTCATTGCTAAGGTTTTCGAATCGAATGCTGTTCTTGGCCCGATTCCATTTGCCTAAAATACCGGAGTGATTGCGAAACCCGGATGTTTTCTATGGTTTGACAGTTACATATTCCAATATCGGAGCATGAGTTTTCGAAATCATGTTTATGTTTTCAGACAGTCGTGTTGTGTGCAAGTTCACTTGCCTATGCAAGCAGGCCACCACTTCGGTTCAGTTCTCAGAACCATTAACCATGCACTATCGTGCGCTGGTTTTGGTTGCTGTCTTTAGGTTGTCCATTCAGATAAAATAACAGAATGAAGCTTGGAATATTGAGATCAAATTCAAGCGAAATATGGCAAATTCATATCGACTGAAGTTACAAGAATAATAAGTAATTGAATGAGCGCCACTGTTTCCGACATCCAGTCATATCACTCAGTGTATTTAACCATTGGTGACCATTGATCTCGAGGTCCCCAGCCTGGGAGCTTAACTTGACCTATTTGACCCAGTCTCCTGGTTAGGGTTTTCATACCCTAATGCCAGGTTTTAGTTTGATCTCTTAACTTTTCCAATCATCACCTGCTTCGCCAAACATCGCTTGTTGTGGTAACCTATTTCGTGACATACACAGTACATGTCCCAACCAACGTAATCTACAAAAGTCAACTACTTGCTCCAATGGTCGACCTCGATTAACTAAAACTCCACGCCTAACCTCAGCATTGTTTGTCCGGTTATCGCACCACTCGTCCAATGCGACATAGACAGCGGTGTTCAAACACCGACAGTCCATCTTTGTCCTGTTTTCTTAATGGCCAAGTTTCTGCTCCATATAGCAGAGCTGGCGGCACTGCTGCAGCATACACTCGATCAAAGTCAAAGTTTTATTATGGGCGTTTTAACAAAGCTAAAGCTTATCATGCCCCATAGGATTTTTACAGAATGTTTTGAATAACTTCACAAAGAGAGAATAACAATGATAATAATGTGCGTGATGTTGAAATTTTAAGTGTTCCAATGCTTTATCAAGTTGCGGTTTAAGTAGTTCAACTGTAGAAGCACACACTACATCAGATGGAAGAGAATTCCATGCGCCGCACACTCTGACTGCAAACGAGTGATACCGGCAATCAAGGTGGCTGTTCTGGGTCTTTATCTTTAGTGGATGTCCCCTGAGGTGATCATTATGAGATAAAGTCAGTAGAGAACGGCAAGGGTGGTTGAGTTGATACAGTATGTGATATGCCAATATTAGGTCCCCTCAAAGTCGGTGGTATTGGGATGAGTAGAGTCCAATATTTGCAGTCTTTCGGAGTATATCTTGTTATATAGACCTTTTACCAATTTCGCCGCCAGCCTCTGCGGACGTTCTAGAGCCTTTCTGTCGCAGGTTAACCATGGATTCCATACTTGAACGGTGTACTCCGTGTGTGGCCGAACGAACGCTGGTAACAAGCGTGGGAACAGTGCTCTTTCGAAATGCCCGAAAACACGTCTGAGTAGTCCAACTTGCTTTAGAGCCATAAATGATGCTCTGGCACAGTGCGTGGAACATCCTACGTTCTCCTGTACCATAACTCCCAAATCCGTTTCATCAGTGGCATGCGGTAGTATTCGGTTCCCCAGAACGTAGGAGAAACGAGTCTTATGCCGCATGGAGATGACTCAACATTTGGAAACGTTAAACTCGATGTCGTTGGCGATTGACCATCGGTGGGCTGCGTCGATCGTTTGTTGGAGTGCTATATGATCCTCAGGATGTGTTACAGTTCTCCAGATCTTAGCGTCATCTGCAAAGAGCAGTGTATTAGGCCCAAGGACATGTGGCAGGTCGTTTATAAATGCAAGAAAGAGACGAGGCTCCAGTACGGATCCTTGAGGAACCCCCCGGGTAGCGATGATAAGCTCTGATAATGAATCACCAACACGAACTGACATGGTTCTTTGTCGGAGAAACTCCTTAATCCAGTCCAGAAACAAGCCTCTTACTCCGTAGTTGAAGAGCTTTTGCAGTAGAATTTGGTGGTTTACTCGATCAAATGCCTTGGAGAAATCCAAATAAACTATATCCAGTGGCTGGCCTGCATCAACGGATTTTGTCCACTCATCCCATGCAAGGAGCAGGTTTGTGGTGCACAAACGCTTGTACCGAAATCCGTGCTGGGTTGGAGACAAAAGGTCATGCTTCTCCAGATATTCCACCAACAGATCTGCCACAATAGCCTCCATGACTTTCGACAATATCGGAAGAAGTGTAACAGGGCGGTAGTTGGCTGGATCACTGCGAGATCCCCCTTTTAAATGGGAGAAATCACCCCTTCCTTTCATGCCTGCGGAATTACTGCCTCGTTGAACATCCTTTGGTAAGGAACAGCCAAGGGTTTTGAAATGTTATTGGATAGCGACATCAGAGTCCGGGGATGCATGCAGGACGGATGAAAGTACTTTAGACAGTGATTACAGGCAATACCCGATTTGACGTCCTTTCCGCAGGTCAACAAATCACATACTCCTAATCCTTGTGTTGTACTTGGTGCGTCAGTCCCAAGCACATTACGACGGACCATTTTGACCGAAGATGACCCGGGAGACGGTAGACGACTGACAAAGGTCAAATTCTGATCTGCTGAGTAGACCACACGATAAGGGTCAACCGGTGCGTATCGATCGATGCGGTCGGCGATGGAGAAACAGACACGTGCGTGAGAGGAAAACAAACAATGACACAAGTATTTTCCACAAATTGATCCGTAGCTTTCTTGCAAATATGCACTGAGAGCTGATTAGCAACTCGTTGAGCAGAGTGGGAATTTATCTTCACAATGGTATCACAATAGTGCTGCTGCGAAGAAAAACAAAAAAATTTTGCGCGCGTAGATATTTTCGTTAATTCCGTTGAAATTGAAAATATGGCCAAATAGCTCGGAACCAGGAATTTATATCCAAAAGATATCTATCAGAAGATAGAGCTGATGAAACAGTGTAAGATGAGCCCAAGCTCGATGCTGTAGGAATCCTTTTGGCGGAGTAAACGCACAAAACCGAGGGCACACAAATAGACCGCCCGTCTAGCAAAGCATCCTTCACAGGCAGCCGGATGTCGCGACGGCGCCGCAGATGTCACAAACTGGCAAATGCCAACCGAGCCTTCTGTATGCAAGCTGACACTTCATCCGTGATGCGTCCACCGGGTGAGACGTAGCTGCCCAAATAACAAAACTTATCCACCTGCTCTATTACTTCCTCTGTTAGAGTGAGGCTGGGTGCTGGACCAACCCAGTCTTG